ATATCTTTTCGTTATAACGTTCCCATAAGGCTTTCACTTAGGGTCTTTTCTTATGTCTTACATCTTTCGCTTAAAGCATTCAGTTAGGGCTACAATGAGCCTCTCTAAAAAAATTGAGGCGTTTATCATTTATGGAAAAAAAAAAAAAAAACGGAGAAAAACAATTATGAATGCCTTAGGGCCTTCACTTCACTAGTACTTGGCCCATACATCGACCACGAGTGTTTCTCATTAACGCGTCACAATCAATGTGCCTTGTCTCGATCTCTTGACAACAAACTCATGTTTCTCTACCGAGATACACCCTACACAGTTGGTGACTGTGTACGCGCACGATCACACACACATACCACCGTGCAAATAAAATAAAGCAGAGAAAAACAAGAAAAAAAAAATAATAATAACAATTATGAATCCCTTAGGGCTTTCAATTAGGACCTTTGTTTATGACTTACATCTTTTGCTTATAGCCTTCACTTTTGGATGTTCATCTAAATCATTAGGGTTTTTAGTTAAAATCATAAACAATCAAGTAGGCCCTTCACTTAGGGCCTTTGCTTTTTTGCCACAATTTTCACATAGATTATTTGGTTAAGGCTGACTTACATCTTTTGCTTATAGCCTTCACTTACGTATATTCACTTAAATCATTAAGGTTTTTAGTCAAAATCATTGAGAATCAAGTAGGACCTTCGCTTTGGGCCTTTGTCTTTTGGCCACAACTTTCACATAGGTCCTTTGCTTCGGGTGTTTCATATTTTAGTTATAACCTTTGCATAGGGCATTCGTTTAGGGTCTTCCTTTATGTCTTGCATCTTTTGGACCTTCACTTAGGGCATTTGTTTATGTGTGTACCTTGCATTGAATTCGGAAAAAATAAATAAAAAAATAGTGTACCTGTGCTTGTTTGATGTTTTGATTGTTTGAAGTTTGCGGAATAGCTGTTTCTTCTTTTGCCTGTAAGCATGTGAATAAAGACACAATTTCACACATTTAGTAAATAAACAATTTTACACATTTTACACATTTCATATGTGTGTGTGTATTTCTGTGTGTATGTGTGAGTGTGTGTGTGTGTGTGTGTCTGTGTGTGTGAGAGAGAGAGAGAGAGAGAAAGAGAGAGAGAGAGAGAGAGAGAGAGAGAGAGAGAGAGAGAGAGAGAGAGA